GCGCTTGGGGTTAATGTCACCTGTGACTTATATTTCAGCAGAAGCAGAAATGGTTTCTAAACAGGGCTGGAGTCCAAGTGAAGGGTCCCTGTATGCCAATGGTTTTTCCAAGCAGTCTGTTGTCTGAATATGTTTTCACCAGGACAGGCTTAACCGTAGGGGAGGGAGATGCGCATGGATTTTATATGTTCCTAAACTAGCACTTTAGGAAAGAGGTGAATTCAGAGAACAACAAAGCAGCAAAAAATCCCACCAAAATCCTGTTTTAAAATGGTATTATTTTGAAATGATGCCTGTTTCTTTGAGGAAGCCTGACTGCAAAAGCTGTGTGTGTCGTGCAAGGACTTGAGCTGAGCAAGGGCTTGTGAAACAGCAGTTGCCCAAATGCGAAGAGCAACCAATGTACTGTGCTCCCTTTGATCAGACAATAAACATGCTTTTCTCTCCTGCACTTTGGGTAATTGGAGGGTCTTGTCAGCACACATCTCTTGCTTCCTGTGCCCTGAACAGAATCTCTCCTCAGCAAAACGTGGGTGCAAACAGTGACAACAAATGTCAGCTCTTTGTTATCTGGCTGCTCTGGGGCCAAGGTCTTACTCAATAAGATTAGACTTGGAAGAGCTGCAGTGGAGCAGTTTGCCCCCATCTGAGAGACATTAGGCAGAAGTTTAGCTGTGCTTCTGGAGTCTTCTGTTGGGAGTCATCAGTCAGGCGTTAGTCTGGTGGGGTGATCTTGTTTCTGCTACCCTTGTGTGTGCTGCTTTGTCTCCTCCCTTATTTGAAAACAAACCTTCTGGGGCAGGGGCTCTTTGCACAGTGCAGGGTGAGTGCCCAGCCGCTAGCAGAGCAGAGCCCTTTCCCTGGGCATGGTGGTGCCTCATGCTCACTCCTTGAATCAGCTCAAAGGTGAGATCTTCTGCCTTTCTCTTCCTGCACATGCCCGTGTGTCGTGGTTTCAGGACACCATGTGATTTGAGAATCAGACAGATGGACAGTCTGTTTCTTTGGCCCTCCATGTGTGTGTGCCACTGATTCGACTGGGCACAGAGTTGCCTTGGAAAGGGATGTTTTCAGGGTGCATCCTCACATGCGGCACTGCCGTTGAAGTGCACGAGTGACCAGGGCTTTCCCCAGCTGCTGGAAGCAGCTTTTTTGCCTGGGAACCAGAATTCCTCTGCCTTTTCTGTGAATATAATACTGAGATTGGGCAGTTTCCATGCTTTGTCTACATGGACCCTCCTCCCAGCTTGCCCCAGTGTGCCCTTGCCTGTAGGGTGCTAATGAGAGCCTCGATATGCTGACTTTTCCAAACTATTGTTTAGAGACTGCAACCAAAATTGCTGTTTCCTCATTAGAATAGCCTTTGTCAGAGCATCTTTCATCAATGGACTCCCAAGAGACAGTGTTTTTAGAACTTCTTTTTATACCTCCTCTTGGAAGTTCTTTGCACTGCACCTTGTGAAGAAACTAATGAGATGCTGTGAGAGTTCGGGCTACCGTTAATTAGAAGAGGTCTGAGGAAGAAGTACTGCACATACATTAACTTTATCTTGGCTCACATGTCTCTTCTCCCCCTCTGTCTCTTCTTTCCAGGTTGCACAAACAGCAGATGGCTTGGATGCTGACCTCTGGAAAGATGGGTTATTTAAATCCAAGGTCACACGATACCTGTGCTTCACGAGATCGTTTTCAAAAGAAAATGTAAGTCCGTTTGCTGAGTGTCTGTGTGATTTGCATCTGTGCCTGGCATGCTCTTACCCGTAAGATAATTCATTTTATGGAGCCAATTATAATTCAAGCAGGCATTTCAGTGAGTTTGGGTGAGTCAGGAGGCAAACTGCAACGGCAGGATATTTGCGTTTTGTTTGTTCTTCATGGAAAATCTGCAATAAAAGCTGCAGAAAAGGGAACACCTGCATTTCAGCAACCTCCTCACACTAGTGTTTCCTGCTTTAGCACTGGGTGCTACGTGCTCATGATGCTGATGAATTTCTAACTCTTAATTACCTAGAGAAGCAAATGCTACAGGGAATGTTGACAAAGGAAATATTAGTTTCTGAACCCAGGGGCATCATATATATTTTTTTGCAGGATTAGCTTTCCTTTCTTTGTTGTTTTTGGTGCTGATTCTTGCAAATTTGCCCACATTGTACACACTGTGTTCTTGTGATCGTCTAGTATGGCTATGAAGCATCAGTTCTGATTAGTGGCAGTTGTCTGCCCACATCTTCTGTGGAGGAGAGGTGACCATGTGCAGTGAGATCCTGATGCCTTCTACTGTGTTTTTGGTTGAGACTAGTGGGAAAACTTCCCCTTTTCTGGAGGAACTGTTTAATTCCACAATGAATGCACTCCATCTAGTGGGTAATCCTGCTTTTTGTCGTGTTTTGGATATTCACAGTGACTCAGTTGTCAGGCTGTGGAGATACCATTTTGTACCTGTGCTTTCAGTGACAACGGGAACAGAAAAGCAACTGCGACCTCAAAGGTTGATCGTGGGTCCTGACAGAAAGGCTGGGGGCTGCCAATTTCCAGGATTTGACCTTTATTCCATCTGCTTCCATGCCTGCCTCTACATTAAAATAAAGCTCCAGAGCTACAGGAAATACCACTTCCTGGGGTAGATGGACAATAATTGTGCTTTTCATCGCAGTCTACCTGCACTAGCAGCAATAATAGCCCCAGAATAGGCAGGGAGGGCATTAAACAGAAAGATTTGTGGTGATTTGAGTATTAAGTTTATCTGTGGCTACCTTAAATGTGAGGTTGTCAGAAATCATTACAGGATAGTAGCAACTGCTGGCTACCAGAGAGTGTAAATACCCTCAGTCAGTGCCTGTTGGGCTTTTGGCATGAATCCTCTGCTCAGCACAGTTTGGGAATACATTCCTCATATTGATGAGGAGTGAATTGAAGTGAGTGCATGGGGAGGACTGCTGGTCCCAGCTGCCCCTCAGATACCTGGTTTATAACGGAGACAGTCTGTAGTGTCTCTTTATCAGAACCATCATTCTTAACAGCTTACAGTATTTGACAGATAAGGACATTGCTGGTATTTGAGTGTCATGGTGAGGAGGCCCCAAATGATGCATCTCGCAAACAGGGAGGCTTTCTGCCCTTTTCTCCTGTGTTTGTAGCAAGAGCATTGATGCTGACTCCCAGTGTTTCAGCAACTAACAAACTTCACAGAGGCCATCTCTCCTACCTCTCTGCTGTTGATGGAGGAAAGATCAGCTGAAAGTTGCACATTGATGTAATGCAGCCAGATAGTTTGGATAAATAAAACATGAAAGATGAATCAGCAGCGACCACTTCATGTATGATTTGCTGTGCCAGGACCATGTTAACTGATACACTCAGGCTTCACAGCATCCAGCATTGCTGGCTCTGAGATGCTGTGGCCAAAGTGGGGATGGGTGCATGTGGAGGCTCCCCAGCCTGAGCCTCTTTGTGTGAGCAAAGGACATATGCCACACTTGTGTGTGGTGGGACAGAGCTGCAGGCGTGGAGGCTTTCTTGGTGAGGAGCTGACCATGAAATGCAGAACCTCCAAAATACAAACTCAGACCTGATCTCTTATTACTTCAGAGGCTGCAAATTCAAATATATTTTAAAATAGCTTAGTGTAATAATCACAGCAGAGGTTTGCCTGAAATACTCTACTAGATAAAAACTAAAGGAGATACTTATTGACCAGTGACAGTGAAACACACTGACATGGTTTGATGGCTTAGGATGAAATTTTAATTGTTCTGTATTGCATTTCTGTTTATAAAGGCTGTGCAGTAACTGAAGTGTATTTTCTTCCATACGTGAATCCAGATTATTGGCAGCAGTGCTGGCTTTAACAAGAACTGCAAAGAAAATCTGGTCTCTAAACAATTGTGGAGGCTGTCATTCTGAATTGTGTTTTGAGCTCTTCAAGCCTTGATTAATAGGACGAGGCATCAGTTCGGAATTCATATGGACTCCAAATGAAGTTCTCTGTTCCAAATGGCCTGCTCTTCTGGAGTGTGCCTGTGTTTGGAGCTAGAACCATGTCTATTCAGTACTAATTAGCTAATGCATGTAATAACTTTGGCTGTGTCTGCTTGAACCATCTTCCCGTAATGCTTTCTGCTGTTACTGTCACAGAAATGTCATGTTGCTATTGTAGATGTAGAGTGTGTGAGAACTAAGGTGACCTGCTTAGTAGATGAAGTAGCAGAGGTAATACTTTGAACTGCTGTGTTTCCAAAGGGAGGAATTTGGTTGTGCTTCTGAGGATCCAGAAGTATGGCAGTGGATGAGGTGTAAGAATCTATAATTGCTGACAGTTGTCCGGTATCTCCAAGTCAGTCGTCACATAGTCCTGCAGAGGGGACAGTTGCAAGTGTTGGCTTGGTACCTCCTTACTGTTTTTGAAGTTGGTGGTGAGATGCAATAACACAGTGTCTTGGGGTTCAGCA